AACATTAGCGGAGCCTTGCCAGGGCCTGCCAAGCTTTCATCACGGGCAATCGCTGACCTTATGTAAGTCAGGAAACCACGCTGAATCAGCCAGACGGTGGTGCTTTCGGCATGGCCTACTCTCAGCTGGGAACCGGGAAGTCGGAAACGTCGATTCCTTCTCAGCTTAAGAAACCCTGCTGAGGATAAACCTCCGCTGTACTTCGCTGTTCGACATCCAGAGTCACCCTCGCGCCACGATGAGGCGGTTGACCATCGTGGGGGGACAACAATCAATCGCTTTAACCCCACTTTTGTTGAGAAGCTTATGACAATATATAACATCAGGCTCTCGACAACAGTGAGGTAAGAGCAGTGCAGAGCCGCGTATCATGTATCTATTTTTAGCACCTTTTACTAGTGAAATCCGGTTTTTTTTTAAATTTGATACTTTACGTATTCTTTATCCTAATCCAATGTTGCGAACGTAGTTTTCACCGCTTGTTTCACTAGTATTTCACAGTCATTTGCCAAACATGACTAACTATGCAACAAAGGCAGTTAAAGACGAAGGTAAGGACAAATGTTTAAGAGTCTCAACACTATACATTGGACTGAATCGAATAAATATTCGGCCATTCGAATAAAACATTCGAATTCGAATATTCGAAATTTCTGATTTTCGAATAATTCGAAAATTCGAATATTCGAAAAATATTATTTTCGAATTATTCGATTATTCGAATATTCGAAAAAATCCATTTTCGAGTTATTCAATTATTCGAATATTCGATGGACTTCCGATTAATCGAATATTTGAACAACAATGGCAAAAGAATGTGAAGTGGTGACGCGCGTCCAATTCGTTCTATCTGCAGTATACATTGGACCGAATCGAATAAATATGCGGCCATTCGAATAAAACATTCGAATTCGAATAACTCGAAAATTCGAGTATTCGAAATTTTTGATTTTCGAATAATCCGATAATTCGAATGTTCGAAAACTTTGTTTTTTCGAATTATTCGAAAATTCGAATATTCGAAACTTATCTTTTTCGAATAATTC